TGGAGAGGCTGAAAACAGGAAGATCACTACCAGTCCGAGCTTCATAGTGAGACTCTGTATCAAATACATTAATAATAATAATAATAATAATAATAATAATAGTAATAATAATATCAAAATTTGACAAAAGCTGACCTTATAAATTTTTCACTGACAAACTAGCTGTACCAATGAACTTTTAAAATGTACTTAAAGCTTCCAATTGATGATTTTTAAATGAATATTTAAGATTTACAAACATTTTTGAAAGAGGTGGTGTTCATATTGAAAAGATGCTCAAAATTTTAATTGCTTTCTTAATTTATTTATTTTTTAATATATTTTAGTACAGTGACTACAGGGTCTCACTACACAGATCAGACTCATAGTGATCCTCCTGTTTTCAGTCTCCTAAGCACTGGGATTACAGGCACGCACCACCACACCCAGCCTCAGTCGCTGTCTCAGGGTGCATCCAGTTTCCCCCAAAGGACTCAATTTTATCTTTATTTATCACAGAGTCGTACATCACAGTGTGTAAATACCACGTTTTTCTTATCCATTTGTCTGTTGATGGACGTAAGGCCCACTTTCTTTTTTTTTCTTTTTTTTTTTTTTTCAGATGTAACTTTTTTTCATGTGACTTACAAACTATCAAAGTATTGATAAAAGAAGCTACATCGGTAGCCAAGCACCAAAATATTAATGAAAGAAAAATAATTTTCTTGTACATCTAATCCTGTCCATGTGTTTCATGAAGTGTTATTCCATGTAAATCAACAGTGTGAAAAATGGTAAGAAAGTCAGTTGGGGAGCAAGTACTTCATCACACAGGTGACAACAAAAGAAAACAAACATCCCCCTGACAGAAACAGTAACAAAAAGCAAAAGTACATGAATCAAAAATACAGCTTTTTTTCAAGACCTACGTGTGTTCTTGAGGCATTTCAAACCACTATGTCTATTAAAATAAAACTATGTAGAGCCGGCCAGAGAGCTTAGGCAGATGCAGGACAGAGTGTGATCCCCTGCTGGCCTCACCCTCTCGGCACACTGGACGGTGATTGAGACTGGGTGTGGTGGCACATGCCTATAATCCCACTGCTTGAGAGGCTGAAAACAGGAGAATCACTACAAGTCCAGTCTGGGTAATGAGACCCTGTACTAAATACATAAAAAATAAAAATAAGAATAAAATAAAACTTTCTTTAACTGGCTTTCATTACTTCTGCATTTGACTTCTTCATTTGATTAATATCACTGTCATCTTTTTTTTAAAACTATCTCATTGCTATTTGTTTCTCAATGAAATTAATTTTCTTTAAAAAGGTCCACTTTCAAGGTTTAGCTATTATGAATTATGGTGCTATAAACACGGGTATGTATGTAGCTGTGTAATATGATGTTTTTAACTCATTCTGCAGGATGACTGGAGAGGAAATAGCTAGCTCAAATAGAATTTCTAGTTTTAGATGTTTTTAGACTTTTGAATCTCTAGAGATTTCCATAGTAGTTTAACTCATTTGAATTTCCGCTAGTGGTGTTGAAAGATTAGTTTCTCCCTGTGGTCTCAGAAATATTTGTTATTATTTGATTTCTTGACAATGACCATTTTTTCTAGAGGAAGATGGAATCTTTGTGTTGTCTTAATTTGCATTTCTTTAATGACCAGTGATGTCCACCAGAGATGAAAGGAGGGAAAGAAGAGGTTAAAAATTGAAAAACAAATTGATATGCTATGCACAAGTACAAACTTCCCACAAGGAATGTAAACACGCTGTACTACAAACGTGTACATAAAATGGAAACTCTTCTTGTTATGGATGAAGGGGAAAGGAAGGAAAATGATATGGAATTTTGAAAAAAAAGAATTAACTTATGTTATGTACATCAACCAATTTCCCACAAAGAATGTAAACAGAATGTACTACACATATGCAGTAATAAACTAACATAAATAACAAATAAAACTAATGAAATAAGAGTAAAATATATTAAAGGACCTATTTGCCTTCATTTACACAGAGGCTACTGGGTGAGTATAGGTGGTATTGGTGTTACTGTGGAACAATTAATAAGAGAAAGAAAGATCAAGTTCCATTTGTTTTTTTATTATTATTTTTATTACAACTTTCAGATTTTATTTACTCTTTCAGGTTCTTATACTAGTGAAACAATATAATGTTTAAATATGTGGATCTGATTTATTTCACTTATGAGTATGGTCTCTAGTTGCATCCATTTACCTATAAGAGCTTCAAATTTATCTTTTTTGTAGCTGAGTAATACTTTGCTGTATAAAAATACCACAGCTTTTTTATCCAGTCCTTGTCTAATGGACATTTGGGTTGTTTCCAAGATTTAGCTATGACAAATTGCACTGCTGCAAATATGGGTACACCTGTATAAGTGTGATAAGATGTTTTCAGTTCTTCTGAAACAAATACTCAGGAGGGAAATACCTGTGTTGAATTGGACCTTCAATCCTAGCTTTGTCAGGAATCTCCACACTAACATCCATAGTGGCTGAACGAGTCTGCTCTCCCACCAACAGTAGATAAGTGCTCCTTTTTCATTACAGCCCCTCCAGCATTTGTTATTGGTTCATTTCTTGACAATATCCATTCTTTCTGTGGAAAGACAGAAACTCAGTATTTTAATTCTCATCTCTTGAATAACAAATGATGTTGAACATTTATTCATATTTTATTTGCCATTTATGTCTCTTCATTTAGGAAGTGTATATTCATCTCAAATGCCCTTTTTTTAATTGGACCTTTGAGTTTGAGGAACCAGATTTTTAAAAATTCTTTATATGTTCTATAGAGAAATCATTTGTCTGAGGGACAGTTGGCTAAATTTTTTTTCCCAATTTGTAGTTTTTCTTTTTTTCTCCATTGATTTCTTTTGATGTGCAGAAGCTTTTCAAGCAAATGAGATCCAAGTTGTTGACTCTTTGAAGTATTTCCTGTGCAGTTTGGTTTTTGTTTGTGAACTCTACCTATCCCTATGTCTTCAAGATTTCTACCTACTTTCTCCTCCAATAGATTTAGTGTTTCTATTTCAATATTTAAATCTTTGGTCCATTTTGACTTTTGACTTTAGCTTAGTACATGGTGATAGATGTGGTTCTAATTTTAGTCTTTTGCATGTGGAAGTTGTTTTTCTGACACCATTTATCAAAAGTCTTTCTTCCAGTGAACATGTTTGGCCCCTTTATCAAAGAAAAAGTGGATCTGTGTGCTGATAGTTGTGGCTGTATCTTTTAATCTATTCCATTGATCCTCAAGTCTCTTTTACTGCCAGTACCATGCTGATTTTATCACAATAGCTTTGTAGTATAATTTCAAGTCAGGGAGTGTGATACTTCATGCCTTTCCTTTATTTCCCAGGATTACTTTTGCTATTCTAAGTCTCTTTTGTTTCCAGGTGAATTTTAGGAATGTTTTCTCTGGATCTGCGAGGTGAGATAATGATATTTTAATTGGGATTGCATTGAATATGTATCACAATATGGGAAGTGTGTCCATTTTCACAATGTTCATTCTTCCTATCCAGAAGCAAGAAATGATCTCTTTTCTCAGAATACTGTAATTTTCACTGTATAAATCTTTTACTTCCTTTGTGAGATTGATTCCCAATTATTTCTTTTTTGGATGTTATTACGAATGCTTGATTTTCCTAATTTCTCTCTCAGTGTGTTTGTTGTTTGTGTACAGGAATGCTATTGACTTTTGAGTGCTAACTTTGTATCCTGCTATGCTACTGAATTTGGTGATTAAACCTACAGGTCTCTTGATGGAGTTTTTTGTGTATGATATCATCTGAAAATAGTGATAATTTCACTTTTTCCTTTTCAAATTCCATTTCTGATAGTCAAGAGACACTCTGAAGAATAGTCAACCTTCTGTCACAGTGAATTTTGATTAAATTCCACTTTCACCAAGAAGTATTTCCTGTTAGTTTCATGCTTTTGGTCTTCACAATGGGTTCACCTTGTACTATCCAAATTGGGTAAATTTCTCTGAAATTTCTAACTCTGAATGTATGTCAGTTAAAAATTAGGTTGTTGGGATCTTCCTTGGTTTATTGAATTATAATTAATTGGGGAGCATCTTGGTTGGTTGTTTTTCATTATTCTAATGAGGCAAGCCTAGCATTTTTAAATACATTAGCTTGTCTCTGTTAATGTTTTATGTCATAGTTATGGTCCTTGATGCTTTAAGTTTCATTAATAGTATTACTGGATTTGTACAGGCCTGATAACTTTGATTTTTCTAAATCTGCAGATAAAAACTGGGGTGGCTTGTCAATTTTTTACCAGAATTAGCATATCTCAAGATATATAATGCCTAGCTGTAACAGAGTCAAGTGCAATGATTCAGGGTAGAAATACATAAGTAAAAGAGGACTTGAGAAATGGCTCAGTGAACATGATACTTTTATTCTGAAGGTCAATTTCAGTGGAGACAGGGTATTTATCTTTAACTACTTGAAAGTCTATTGGTTACAAGCAGAGCTTAGCTTCTTTGTATTATGGTCTTTCTTGCTTTGATACTTGGTGTCCTAGAGAATGTGGTTTCCAAATCTGGGCAAGTACAGCATCCCAACAATCAGGCTCAATAGCAATGAACATGTTCCTTATGTAGGAATAACTTCCTCATGTATGTTCCAGGAGAGCTGGGCCCATGAGAAATAATATCATGTGTTTAATAAGAAATGGACAGAAAAATCTTTCTTGAAAGAATACCTTCTTGGAATGATGGAGAGTTTCTCTAAACATACTTTGGAAAAAAGGTAAATACTAAAAAAACAGTATGATTCATAGATAAGTTCTAGCAGATGACTATTGAGGTAGGGTGTAAGGTATTTTTAGTTTCTGTGTGTGCACACGTGTCAGAGTCTATGCACATGCGAAACTTGCAAGCCACTCGAGAGTCTTCATACAAATTTTTCTATTTAATAAAAGATTTTCATGTTCTTCATTTTCTTTTATAATGACTATATCACAAAGATTTATGATCTGAAAATTTTTCAGATTTTCAGTTTTTTCAGATTTTTTGATCTGGATACAAATAAAAACAAAAGTAATGATGAATTTTCTGGAGAAATTCTTTACTGAGGTATAAAATAAGACAGTCTACCAGTAAGGTGTGAGTTTGTAAGAAAAAGCACAACAATTTTCTACATTCAATAATGACTGAATCTGGCTCTGTCCCCACTCAAACATCAGTAGAGATGGAAGCAAGTTAGCCATTTCCCAGGCGTGATGAAGATGATGAAATATCATGGCTTTCTATCCGCATCCACGGAGAAGTTAGCACTGTCCTTCATGAAGAAACTGAATTTTTCCATTACTTTTCCTAAGGAAAGACATGGTTAAGAAGATTAATTTATATAAGAGAAAAACCTGTATAAGATTAAGTTAAAAAAGAATTACAAAGATTATTAAGTACAGCCTCCTTTTACACATTAGAAAATTGGGCTCCTGAAAAGTCTTGTCTTTTCTTCTGGGAGTTTCTGGCCAAGGCATGAGCAGAATTTCTACAGCCTGATGAAAATTCTACCCCCCTGCTACTCTCACTGAACACACAGCCCACTTGTCCTTTATGGCTTAAAACAACACTGAGGAGAATTTTAATGAGGTAAGTTGAGGATATCTGTCCCTCAGCTTTTCCTGGTCAGCAAGGCCTGTGAGGAAGCTGTGTCCAGTGTTAGCAAAGAGGACTTCACCATGTTTTCCTCTCAGTGTCCCAGGAATACAACTAGTTTCCTGGGATAAGCCCAGTGTGTTTGTGTGACATAATCTTTCTTTAGTGAAATAAAACATCTTCATAAGAAAATAAATACATACATACATCCTTCTGTGTCCAAAACTAACTTGATAGTCCAATGCCCTAGGTAAGCACAAAAAATGAAAAAAACAAGATCTAAACTGAGTAGTCAGAAGCTAGTGGCTTAGAAGAAAATTAATGATGTTATTAAGTAGTCTTGATATGAAACAGTGATTGCTAAAGTGCATATTTTTCACTTTAGGTCATATATGCCTAATTATAGGTTTCTTTTTTTAAAAGAAACACTCTGAATGTCAAACAAAATACCCACACAAAATCTGTCCATGAGATCCTACTTCACGTTCTTACAGCTGGAATCTCTTATTTTAGATAAAAAAAAAAACAATCATACTGGTTATCTACTTTTCTTAAAGGCAAAAGATACTGAGATCCTTTAAGAAACTGATGATAAAGAACCTGATTATTTCTCGGAATCAATCTGTACTTAAGATCGTTAAGGATCTTAGATATCAATAGGTTACCATTTTGCTATTTTCTGATGTAGAGTTCAGGACCCTAACTTTAGACAAGATATTCCACGACTGAAAACAGTGAAAAACTGTGCTTGCAATAGATCATCTTGGATTCCTGAATTGCTCCTCCCACACCACGGGACAACATAAACATCTGCTTGAGAGCTCATGGTCTTATATAATTGACAGATGGGAATTGAAGGGTCTGATTGCCTGTACAACTCTGATCTGACTGTACAGCAGCTTTCAGTCCATCCTGGCTGTTCTGGGTGGACATAGGTACAGTTTATAGAGATTTAGGTATGGCGCAGGAAACAGGGGGGATGGTAGTGGAGAACACTGGCCCCAGTCCTCTTTCCCTCCCCTTGAGGTACTCACAAGCTCTCTGTACACAAGTGGCATTCATTCCCGTAGGTGATATAGTCAGAACCACAAACTGGCAGGTATGTGATGGGGCAAGGGATGGCTACCACTGGATACTTCTTGTAAATGCTGCAGTCAACCTAGTGAAACACCAGAGAATGTCCTTATTGACCACAAGCTAAGCTTCCCTGGCTCTAAGACCTAGAAGTTCCAGTTCAGATATATGGTGTTGCTGAGACTACTTTTATACAAAATGTTGGAGTCGGGGAGATAGCTCAGTGGAATAAGCACTTCCTTGGCAAGCGCAAGGGTCTGAGTTCAATCCCTGGTTCCATCAAAAAAAAAAAAATAAATAAATAAATAACAAAAAAAGTTACACACATGACAGCCTGAGGACCAGTAACACTTATTCTACTTTGTAATTTCTTAGTAACTTCTTAGTAATTCTCAGTAACTGACAGGTCAGTTGATATAATTAAATCTTAATTTAATTGATATAATTAAATCTTAATTAAATTAAAATTAAAATTAAAAAATTTATATAATTAAACCTGCTTGGCAAGTGCAAGGTCCTGGGTTCCATTCCTAGTACCCAAAAACAAAACAAAATAATTTGAATAGTATTTAGAATAATGTAATAAGATAATTCTTACCATTACTTCTATTTAAAGATAAAGAAATTAAAGCTTAAAAAGGAATAAGAGTTGTATGAGGTCAGTGCTTATAAATGGTAGACGTCAGATTTAAATCCAAATCCTTTGCACTTGAGTCAAGGCACTTCTGCCATTCTCTCAGATACTGGCCCTTGTATGAAAACATAACCTGTCTCAACTGAAAATCAGCCCCTCTCTTAACTCTGGATTTAAAAGAAATTACTTGGGGGCATCGTTATTATCTTCGTGTTGTGTTTCCTCACTTGTATTCTAGAGAGCAGAAATATTTCAGCATCTTACCCCTTTGACTCTTCTACACATACAAAATTAATCATCTATGTGTGTTTCAAAAGTATTTTAGCTATTTAACTACTAATAGGCACTGACATGAAAATATTATTCAACATACTTACAGTTATTACAGGCTTATTGTTGACTTCTGAAAGAGACAGATAAAATAAAACATGAAAAATAAAACTAAGCACTGAATCTCATTAATGTGTGTGCTTTCTTTCTAATTAAGGACTGTACATTTCCTTTGGCAATGAGTCTCAGTATACTCCAAACTCATGCAAAATCCCAGCTGTATACTGAGGAAGTTGAATGGTCAGTGAGTTTCATTAGCCTTTGTTTCAGACAAGGGAATTGCCTCAATTTTCTCTCTTTATTGACTAAGAGACATTTTCGGGAGATTATAATGCTGTTGACAGTATAAAAAATATGAAAGTCAGCAGCCCTAAATACTGCAGTCATCCCTCCTAAGATCCTGATGTCCTCTCCCACATAATTGTTAGAAAGGAATGGAATTTAACATCTTTTAGGTATAAGAAACTTATTTTAAATAAGCATTTTTTTCACCACAAAATTGTCTAATTATTGGCTGCTGGCCTCTGGAGAATTGTGTTTTATTTTGTTCCGCCTACACTAATTTGAGGAGACATCTAAGCTTTTCTGCATGTTTGCACCTGAGCGATGACATCTAATACGCCAACCATTTCCAGTGTCTTTATAAAATGAAGACACTAATGGAGAAATTAGATATGGGGAATAATCCATAGGTGCAAATAAGAACCTTCTGCAGGAAGACATTTGACCCAAATCCCTCAATTCTAACTCCAGCTGGAACATAAGATCCTCCCTTCTCAGCTCAGGGCTATTTCTCTTACAAGTCAGCATACTTTAACTCTATATAACCAGACAATTAGATGCTTCTTTCAGATGCTCAGAGGGATCACCTGGGGAGGTAGCTTAAGGCTGTACAGGGCACTGCCCACCCTTAACTCACCTGAACTGCTGCAGAAGTGGCTCAGCGTGCAGAGCACGAGGAGGCCCCAGAGGATCTTCATGGCAGACATGCTCTAAGGTTGGCACCCAGCTGAATGCACCATGCCTTAGGGAAGAGGTTGTGTTTATAAAGGTGTGCCTTGGCCTCTCCACCTTTCCTGTGAAGTAATCCAGAGGCAGTCTGGGCTGAGAAAGGATTTCCATACCTGCCACACCCTGGGTGGCATTGCAGTCCTTGTCACTTAATTGCTACTACTGATCTGCACAAGCTTTTGATTATTTAAGATGAGAAGTATTTTTTCTACCTGTTGCAGAGGTGAGAAAAGTTACTTAGAATTCAAAACTTCATGTGGAAAAGATTAAGTCTGAGCTCCTTGGCCTAGTTGTGAAATAAGTGAAAAATTCGAACTTCCTTTATTTTAACAAAATGAAAGATACTAACTCAGATTGGACAGATAATAACAATGTTTATATCTGGATGCATGGGAAAATGATGCTTTACTTTTGAAGAAATGAACCTATACAGTAAGCTACTAAGAGCTGTGAAAACAATAGCAACTTTAGCATTTATGAAGCTTGTAGAATGGCATTGACATGCACCTTTCACATTTTTTAGCTGGACCATTTTGAATAAGTCACTGATACACTGTGAGTTTTGTCAGTCAGGAAGGCTTGATGATGGTGTGGTAACATAGAACCCTGAGATTTCAGTGACTGAACACTATACAAACTATATACGGCGGTTAGCTGATGGCACTGCACTGCCCACACTCTGGCTGCCAACTGGACAGAACTGTCTCTCTTCACAATACATTTGTCAGACGAAGTGAAGACTTTTTTCATCAGTGAAATAAATATTCTAGCCCAGAAGTGACATGACTGCTTTGTGACTGTCACATGGCCCCATCCATTCACAGCAGTTACAGTGTGGAGGCTATTTTAAACATAATGAAAATTTTAATACTAGTTTTCTAACACTGTTCAAGGATGTTAGGGAAGCCCAGAGCCATCTACAAGATAAGTGCAACTCAGGACTGGTGAGATAACTCAGTGGACTAAGCACCTGCTTAGTCAAGTGCAGGGACTGGGGTTTAAGCCTCAGCACCACATGCCACATGGGCCTTGCCCTTGGGCCTGCTGAGTGGGCAGCTAAGTCCAGGCATATGGTGGCACACACCTGTAATCCCAGCACTGGAAGGCTGATAATAGGAGGATTACTATGAGTCTGAGCTGCATAGTGAGACCCTGTACCAAATACATTTAGAAAAAGAAAGGAGGAGGAGGAGGAAGAGGAGGAGGAATAGGAGGAGGAGGAGAAGGAGAAGGAGGAGGAGGAGGAGGAGGAG